CAGGCCCCAGCCCCTCCTCCCTCAAACCGAGGAGTCCAGGCCCCAGCCCCTCCTCCCTCAGACCCAGGAGTCCAGGCCCCCAGACCCTCCTCCCTCAGACCCAGGAGTCCAGGCCCCAGCCCCTCCTCCCTCAGACCCAGGAGTCCAGGCCCCAGCCCCTACTCCCTCAGACCCGGGCTCCAGTCCTCTTTTTCCTCCAGGACCTGAGCCTGCCTCCGAGCCTTGGCCGTCCTGACCTGGAATAGCCTGGTGAAGATGTCGAACTCGAAGATGGACACGTGCCCGCTGCAGGTGAGGTCAATGGTGGTGCGCAGGGCCAGGGCCGTGCAGCCTGGCTCCACTGGGTGGCAGGTGCCCAGGAGCGACTCAAACTCAGCCCAGGGCAGCACACACCTGGGTGGGAGGGGTGGAGGAGTCACCGCTGAGGCCTCCGGGAGCCAATGATGGGAGGCTCTCCAGGAGGGAAGCAGCAGTGGCCTGGCCAGGGCAGGATGGGGCTCCAGGAGGCAAGGCTCCCTGAGGACAGGGCTTACTCACCGGGCTCCGCAGCGCTCCCTCCAGAAGACGTGGGCTGGGGCCTTGGTGAGCTGGTACACATGACCGCAGTAACATCCCCCAGGGAAAAGCGCTCGCAGCTCTGCGTGCATGTGGCTGAAGATGACGGCCAGCTTGGCCAGCTGGCGCCTGTGGGGAGGGGCAAGGACTCCAGCTGTTCTTGGGGCTCCCACCGACACCCTCTTCCTCCCCGAAAGGGGAACGCCTTCAGGGACAAGGTTCCGGACCCTCTCTCATCAGTGCGAGGTAAGAGTCCGTTCCTGCAGGGCACGGTGGCTCATGCCTGTAATCCCAGCACTTTGGGAGGCTGAGCCTGGCCAACATGGTGAAACCCCGTCTCTACTAAAAATACAAAAATCAGCCTGGTGTGGTGGCAGGCACCTGTAATCCCAGCTACTTGGGAGGCTGAGGCAGGAGAATCGCTTGAACCTGGGAGGCGGAGGTTGACGTGAGCTCAGATTGGGCCACTGCACTTCAGTCTGGGCGACAGAGCAAAACTCCCTCTCAAGAAAACCCAACGAACAAACAAACAAACAAAAAACAAAAAAAAGAGAAAAGAAAATTAAAAACTATATACATGGATTTTATTAGATTTTGGCCGGGCGCAGTAGCTCACGCCTGTAATCCCAGCACTTTGGGAGGCCGAGGCGGTGGATCACTTGAGGTCAGGAGTTCGAGAACAGCCTGGCAAACATGATGAAACCCTGTCTCTAATAAAAACTGCTCCAAAAACAAAACAAAACAAAACAAAACAAAACAAAACAAAACTACAAATATTATCCCTGCGCGGTGGCAGGTGCCTGTAATCCCAGTACTTGGGAGGCTGAGGCAGGAGAATCACTTGAACCCGAAGGTGGAGACTGCAGTGAGTCAACATTGTGCCACTGCACTGCAGCCTGGGTAACAGAGTAAGATCCCCGACTCAAAAAAAATTATGCTGAATTTTGCAGAAATCCAGATCTACTATACATGAAGGGAAGACTATTTGTTTCTGTATCATGGTGGTTCTACCTATAGGTATGAGTGTCTGACTAGTCAATTCTGCCTTCCAGAATAATTATGCCTTGGCATTTTCATTCAAAACGTAGATAATATGTTAGGAAAAAACATTCATCTTATGACTCTCTTATAATTTGGGCATTACATTGATTAAAAAACTATGGGTGGGTAGGTTGTTAAAACTCTGCGTGTCATTTCAGGATGAATTAAGGAAACACTGGGCCAGGCATGGTGGCTCTTGCCTGTAATCTCAGCACTTTGGGAGGCTCAGGTGGGAAGACTGCTTGAGGCCAGGAGTTTGAGACCAGCCTAGCCAACAGAGCAAGACCTCCTCTCTATCAAAAAATAAGATTAGCCTGGCATGTGGTGCACCTGTGGTCCCCGCTACTTGGGAGGCTGAGGTGGGAGGATCACTTGAGCCCAGGAGTTTGAGGCTGCAGTGAGTCATAATTGTGCCACTGCTCTCCAGCCTGGGCGACAGAGCAAGACACTGTGTCAAAAAAA